TCTTCCAGAACAAGAATTTAAAGGGTTCGGCGCAACTGTTTAGGACAAAATTTTGAGTCAGGTATAATCAGTTTTTTTCATTTTTTTCCTGTGCATATATAAAAGTCCCACTGCACAGTATTACTATTAAATAAATACATTTTCGATGAACCAATAATTAAATCAATCTGAAATAAAAGTTATTCTAACAACTTTTATTGAAATAAATTGTATAATTAATAACAATAACACTTGTCAGGTTCAGTCTATATTCATCCGGAGTCATATTATTGTAATTACTAATTTATAGTATAGAGATTCACTGATACCAAAAGCACTATAGTGGTCAGGTATCCCCAGTAATGTATGACACTCACTTTTGTGGTTACTTATATAAGAATTACCATTAGGTATAAATGTAGATAATATCTACCTATAATAACAGAAAATATATTTTATTACCTTATTCGGTATATTGTTACTTTAAAGGACAATTATTCTACATGAAATTATTTTGAACTTGATTATTTATAAAATTACCATCATAGTATATTAAACAAAGGAATTTTTGCCGAAGAGGTCAAATGTGGCTATTTTATTTACCATTATTCATCGAACTTAAACCTAAAATCATTTTTTTTAGCACCTACCTAATGTAACCATTTTCCCACGTTATTATTTGTTTCAGCTATATTTAACATGTAACTGTAAATATTGTGTTTATTATACAATAGAAAATAAAAAAATGTTGGTTTATATATTATCCTTTATTCATGTTGAAATACCTCCGATTGGAGGCCTCTTCCTTCAGTCTCTTCTGTCTGTTTTTGTTCTATTATCACTTAAGCTTATTTAATTATTCTAATTGTAACAGATACCTAGCTAATAAAGAATTTTGTTAAAAAAAAAAAAAATATATATTATCCTTATTGGAAAATTATGTAGAGTTCCTTGAAGATATCATTGTTGCCAACAAGAATATATTGTGTTTAATAAGACACATTTAATATATAGGTACATATTTTATTCTTCCACGTTTTGATGTGAAAATGCAAAATGTTTATTTATTTAGCTATATCTATATACCTATTAAACCTTAGGTACCGTATTATTAATAATTAATAATGGTTCAGTGTAACTTACTGCATGATGATGATGAAAATTTATTATTATTATTCCAACAACAATTTGAGGTACCTATGTAATATATTTATTTTACTAAATTAGTATTTTTGTACTACTTAATCAGCTTTCTGTGGATATACAAACTTCTGTTTTTCTTAGAGAACACAACTTTTCAACTAGGGTGAAACATTATTCTGAGAAATTTGACGTAGGTATTAGCATCAAAATTCATACGAGTAATTCTTGAGATATTTAACTTTGTGCTCTATATACAATTTCAAATTCAGTTTCTTTTTGGTTTTTAAAAAATGATAATTTTGTTTCCTAATTTGGTTTTATACTTATATAAATCTGGTTTAGTTTATATTCTTTAAAATTATAATGAAATATTGGTATAATTAATTGGCGTTAATTTATGGCGGGTTAATACCAGTTTTCAACCAGATATCTTAAAATTTGCTTAAACCAAATAAGTAAAAAGGTGCTCTGCTGTACAGTAAGTTACAAGTAGGTCACTGTTTAAAGAATGGTATTAAATTTGAATTCAATGATATAATATCATTGTATAAGAAGAACGATTCTGAGTGAAAACAGTCAGTCAGCCTATGATATTACTTAGTATATTTGATGATATTATTGTGAATAAAGTAATTTTACCTAACCTAACCTAACCTTTATATATTTACCTATTTGCGTGGACCCTTGTTTTAAATTTTCAATCCTTAGCTGTAAAAGTTGAAAAATTTACAAATTTTTAACTACAAAATAATTATTAAATTTAAAAATAATACATTTTGTCATAATTCGAACTTTAAATGCTTATAAGAAAAAAATTGTGCCCATGTGCCTTGTGTTTTTAATATTTTTAAACTGCTATTGTATTAATATATCAGGAGCTTTGCATTAAATTTTCACGATTTTTTACACCACAAATAAAATTTTATTGATATTTATAGAAAAAAAAAACAAAAAAAATTGGAAACTGAAAATGTCCGTAAACAGCTCAAAAAAAGTCAAAATATTTTCAAAACTGTATGGTGTATAGGAAATGCTAATATAATCAATCAGTGAAATTTTCAAGTATCTATAGTCAGTCGTTTTTTGATAACATTCGTTACATGAGAAATCGAGTGAATATCAAATGTAAAAATATGAATTTTGTTTCTCTCATAAAAATTTAATTTGAGTTTCATGTAGAAATTTTTTTTTGATAAAGATAGACAAACTTATAGGGAATTTTGTATTACATTTTAAAATCTTAGATTTAAAAAGAAAATTTTTTATGAATTTCTAACTCGAAATAATTTGCAAATTTTCGTAATTTTTACGTAGGTATTTTGTCAATATTTGAACTTTAAATGCTTATCAAAAAAATTGTGACTATAGATTTTAATTTTTTGCATCTTCCGTTGAAACAATATACTAGGAGCCTTCTATGAAATTTTCAAATTTTTTTAACCAACAAATAAAATTTTATTTATATTTATAGAAAAAAAAAACGAAAAAATATGGAAACTGAAAATGTCCGTAAACAGCTCAAAATAAGTCAAAATATTTAAAAAAAAATGTTATCATGTATAAAACATGCTAATATAAACATTCAGTCAAAATGTCATGTACCTAAGGTCATTTGTTGAAGAGCTGCACCAAAAACCAAAATCGATTTTTTCAAAAACAGATTTTGAGTTCAAAGTCCCGTTTTTCCTTAATTTTTCTTTTGTTTTTCACGGTGCTTTTGAAAATTTTCACTTTTGACCCCCAAAGTACCAACTAGATTCACTTTTCTATCAGAAAAGCTACTGTTGAAGACAATCCAAGCACTTTTACTGTCCTAAAAGGTGATGAAGGTAAAAGTAATTTCTAATCTTGTCTTAGCCGCCCGGGATCTATGTGTTAGTAGTAAATGATTATTAGTGAGAGTGAAATTAAATGCGAGTATCCTCTCTCGTACTGGCATGCACATGTCAATGTCTTGAGAACCATATAAATTTCACTACACGAATTTTACAAAAATACCTATACATTTGTGTTGACAAGATTAAAGTTTGTTAACGTTGTCGGATTTTGATTGTGAAATAATATTTGAATTCAGCAGCAAAATGTCTGTAGATCGTACGAAACATTTTCCATTTTTAATATTAATTTTAATTTTAATTTTAATTATGATTCGAAAAAGTTCATATTTTCAAGCTTTCAAGTTCACAGTTCACACCAATATAAAATTTAGTTCTTACAAAGTGCTTAGTAAGATCTAAAGATAATTTTTTGGTGAATTCAAATTTTTTTTCAGAATCAAAATCCTACAACTTAAACTAACTTTAATTTTGTCAATACTTTAGGTCTTTTCAGCTAAAATTGACGGCAGTAGCGAGGCCCGTTAATGATATAATTGTGAATAAAGTAATTTATATACTATAACCTATTTACTTGGAACCTTGATTTAAATGTTCAATTTTTAGCTATAAGAGTTGAACATTTTATACATTTTTAATTAGGTACTAAATAATTTATAAATATCGCAATTAGATTGACCGATTTGCTGAAACTTCGGAGTACGGGTATGGGTGATAGCTATAATAATACGATGTGTATATTATAATATTTTATAAGCTATAATAATAACATAACATCACATACCTAGTATACATAATATAATAATAAGGCTAGTGTAGAACTTAAACTACATATTGTGTATAATATGTGTATAGGTTAAAATTGTTTTCGATCACAAAGTTTATCGAAGTTTAACATTGGAAAATGCTGAATAGGCATGTTTCAATCTTCAATGACATACGTGTAGTAAACATGTACAGCGTGATTTTTTAAGCATACTAATCTTCATTTTTCTCTTTAATATACTTAATTTATTCGAGTTATAAATTTTAGAATTTTTAAGTACTTATATCAAATTAAAAACCATATTTTTAAATTAACGATATTTTTCGTACTACTTAAGGAGTGTCCTGTGCCGTTAAGAACTACCTTTTTTCTACTGCAAATTATTTAGCAGATGATTTATTTGAAAATGTTGATGAATTTAAATTAAAGTTTCTCAGTTATTAAAAATTTAAATGTTTTTAGGTACTCAGGATAATAATCTTTAAAAATATGTTCTATAGTTATATGTAATATTAATAATATTATGTACTAATAAACATTTATATTGATAGATAAATTATAATTACTAAAATGTTCAGATCATCTAATCTCCCATATCTACTAAACCCATTGCAATAGACATATTATCCTTAGTAGGTACACAACTGTATAATACAACTTAACTACTAGTTCAAATTTTATTTCAGGTACGTCAAAATTCTCAAAAAAAAATATCTGCTAAATAATTAAAAGTGAAAAAGAGGGGTTTCTGTTTGATAATCAGAAATTTGTATTGGAACAGGATCATCCTTAAGTGTTACAAGAAATTTCAAGTATTCACAAATATTGTCTTCAAGTGTGTTTAAAAATTCTAAAAATCAGAATTTGAATATATTTATAACTTAACCATAAATATAGTGAGCAGTCATAAAATGTCGCCCTGTATAATACTATGTATATTTGAGCTATTACGTTTGTATATTGTAATAAATAAGATTATAATAGGTGTGCAATAACAATACCTCCGGTATCTATTTATCAATTCAATTTTAATTAGTTATTACTGTATAAGAAGTTGTTTTTTTAAAATAAAATATTACAACTATTGCGTAGGCATTGCACGAGCAAGCGCAGGATAACGAATGAACCCGCACGGAAAACGACTGCACACTACCTAATAACAACTAATTTTGTAAAATTCTGTGTATTTTGTGTTTTTCGTTGTTACTTCTTGGAGTTTACCGACGTCTGCAACAAATTCCGTGGTCGATGATCTTCTCGTTTTCACGAAGCTGATGATGTTGCTGACACCACGGTTACTGGTTACTGCGTCCGTGCTGTTGGCGGTTACCGACGGAGGGCCAGGACGGATTCGAGTGGTTAGTAATTACAGGTTGGACAGGCCACGAGGAGCAGTTTTAAAAATGTATAATAAGACTAACTCTTTAACCTAATTTTAATTTTAACTTTAAAATTTAAAATTAAAATTTATAACCTTATCAGACAACTTGTTTACGGCACAATTTTAGATTCCGAGTAAAGCAAGAATGTATCAGCTATTGGTTTTACAATATGAATTATAATATGAAGGGGTTTTTTTAATTTATTATTTTAATTTATCTCTATTATCAACATATTATTATGGAGCAGTCAAAATTCATAAATCTTCTATTTCGATTTTTTAACATAAGTTAAAGGTATCTAGTTGTTATTTTGTGTATATTCTTTTTTGTGTCTGTCATCAAGTTTTAGGACAGGAAAAGTGCTTGGATTTTCTTCAACAGTATCTTTTTTGATAGGAAAGTAAATCTAGTTGGTACTTTGGGGGTCAAAAGTGAAAATTTCCCAGTAGTTTTCAAAAGCGGCGTGAAAAACAAAATAAAAATTTAGGAAAAACGGGAATTTTTACACTAAAATCTGTTTTCGAAAAGATCGATTTTGGTTTTTGGTGCAACTCTTAAACAAATGACCGTAGGTACATGAAATTTTGACTGAATGTTTATATTAGCATTTTCTATACACGATAACATTTTCAAAATGTTTTGATTTATTTTGAACTGTTTAGGCACATTTTCATTTTCCATTTTTTTTAGTTTTTTTTCTAAAATATCAATAAAATTGTATTTGTTGGTTAAAAAAGCTTGAAAATTTAATACAAGGCTCCTACTATATTGTTACAATGGCATTTGACAAATATTAAAAATCCTTCGTCACAGTTTTTTTTTATAAGCATTTAAAGTTCAAAATTGACAAAATTTGGAAAAATCACGAAAATTAGCAAATTATTTTGAGTTAAGAATTCGTAATAATTTTTCTTTTTAAATTTAAGATTTTAAAATGTAATACAAGATTCTTTATAAGATTATTTACCTTTAACAAAAAAAAAAAATGTCTATATGAAAGTCAAATTAAATTTTTATGAGCGTTTGAAACTCAAATTTTTACAACATTGGATATTCACTCAATTTCTCATGTAGCGATTTCCTTATTTTGTTGTAATTCAAAAACGAATAACTGTAGATACATGAAAATTGCACAGAATGTTTATATTAGCATTCCTTACACACCATACCATTTTGAAAATATTTTGACTCTTTTTGAGCTGTTTACGGACAATGTCAGTTTTCAATTTGTTTGGTTTTTTTTTCTATAAATATCAATTAAGTTTTATCTGTTGGGCCAAAAAGTGTAAAATCTAACCTGATATATTTTTACATTATCAGTTGAAAAATATGAAAAATACATAGGCACAATTTTTTTTATAAGCATTTAAAGATCGAATTTTGACAAAATTTATCAAATTTATCAAATCTAGAATTGAAAATTTAAAACAAGATTCCATTTAAGTAGTTAATTCTGTTACCAAAAAATCTAAAAAATTCAGAATCACAGTTTATTTTTATAGTTCATATTTGGACGAAATTACATAATAAAAAACCTAGAATAACTATTTTCGTTATTTTGTTGTGAGTGTATAATATTATTCGTGTGTACTTGAAACTTCTAAAGTACACTATTATATATCTATGATAGTATCAGGGTTTGTTGTTGATGTATAACGCATTATAAGTGCCTAATGGATATTGTGATATGATTAATTTGGAATTTATTATAGGTCAATATTTTTTAAAGTACCATAGACATGTATATAATATGTCTTAAACCTAGACTGATGTATCGTCTCCGCTCAGAATCGTTTTTCTTATACAATGATATTATATCGTTGAATTCAAATTTAATACAATCCATTATACAGTGACCCACTTGTAACCTACTGTACAGCAGAACACCTTTTTAAACACTTAATTAAAACAATTTTCTACAATCACGAATTATAATATAAATATACAAAATAATTATTTATGCACTATATTTTAGTATAAAGATAATTATAATAATGAATGATTTTTTAAGGAAAATCCCTACGGGTCTGGAAGAGGAAATAAAGAGACCCAGATTACCGTTAAGAACGAACGTCAACCGTCTGGCACTTATTATGATGTAACTCATGTAAGTATATTAAATTCTCATTATATTCACACAAGCGTTTCAGTTATAATAATGGTTTTTGCGTAGTTATAACCTGCATTTTATTACCTACCTATTATACATACAGTACATTTTAAGAGAATTGCAAAGATATGTACCATTTTCAATACACAAAATTACTCATTACAATACCATTGTTTACTAATACATTTGTTTGTTTTCGACCAATTAGTAATTTAATAAATTACTTTAAACTGAAATACAAGTTGAGAAATAAAAAGAACAATTATTATCTACCAACCATTTTCAGAGAGAACAAATTCATCCTCCAGACGACAGAAGATATACATACCACGACTCTTCAGATCGTGACTCAATTTATCAGGTATCATCAGTTATGTGTAACGCAGCTAATTTAGTGGTTACAACTTACAGGTTACACAATGAGACGGTGTTTACAAGTCCAGGTTGCCGCAAAAGGGTGGACTTGGGATACATAATACAAATCTATAAAGCCCCAAAAATCTGTATTATGACTAGCTATTATAATTTTTTAATTTGATTTGCAATTCGCCCTAACAAAAAGGAAGCATATTTAATTCTCATTATATTAACTCAGTTTGAATATATTTAAAAAAACGTTTCAGTATCGGTTCTTGCTAGGTTATAACCTTAATTGTATTACCTACCTAATATACATACAGTCATTTTAAGGAAAATATTCCAATGATGATTTCAAATTTCAATACACAAATTTACTCAATAAACAACTATTGGGTACTAAAATTAAATTTAGTTTCTACAATTAAATAATTAAATCATTAAAAAATGTATACTGACATTGCAATTAAGGTATAGCTTTCATATTGTTACAACATTTATTACGCAGTTATGAAAGTAGTATGCCGATAACGATATGTTATATTCAGGTTAAGTTTCAAAGTCATAGCCTTTTAAATTTGTTGTTTTACAATAATGGAACCATTGAGTTTACAGTAAACAAATTATTTTTCACAAAAGAAACAATATGGCTTGTCGATAAAATGTAGGGCTGATAAATTTGTGTCCTTCAGGGTATGGAAACTCTACCTAATATATATTAGCCTGTACAACTGTTAATATTATGATTATTATACAATAATTACAAATTGTTTTGGTCTACATATAATTATTCTTATTGGCAAATTATGTAAAGCTCCTTGAAAATATCAACGTTGCCAACCAAAATATGTATTTTGTAAGACACATTTAATACTTCTATGTTTTGTTCCTCCGTGTTATGATATTCTGCAAATACAAAATGTTTGTACCTATACGTAGACAATGATATTCTAAATTATAGTAGTATAGATATTATATTGGTATGTCCATAATTATCAATAATTAATAACTTTTCAGGGTAACACACGGACTCTAAATGAGGACTACTTATTATTCCCTCGTTTCCCTCAAAAACAATATGAGGTATATATTTATTTTACTAAATTACTATTTTTTGAACTAAATAAATTTATTTTTGACAAGATATCAACGTTGTTAACTAGATTACATTGTATTTTATAAGACATATTTAATACATATAGGTACTTAGATATTTTGTTCTTCCACGTTATGGAGTGAAAATGTAAAATGTTTATTTATTTATCTATATCTGTATATTGAACCTTAGATACCTAATATAGGTACCGTATTATTAATAATTAATAATTTTCAGGATAACTCCAGGCATGACGATAATGACAAGGTATCATTAGCTCTTCAACAATCTGAGGTAAATATACATTTTACTCATAATATTTATTCAATTAGTATAAATAAAAACCGACGTCGCAGTGTTGCTTTTCGGGATTTCAAGTGTTTTAGACTTTCACTTACACAAAAATACATATTAAGTATTAACAAATTGCAAGATTTATAATTGAATATGAACAATATTCAATAATTAAATTAAACTAAATCTATAATTACTTTTGCACAGTCCCATTCACAGAAGCCATCGCTCGATCAGATGTTCAAAATCATTGAATCGATAGCCAGTGAAATATTAGCTAGCCAGGATAAGAATAAAGGATATGTGCTGGTAAGTGTGATAGGACAAGATCACGGATGATTAATACATTTCATCAGCTCCGGGTGAACGGAATGTTATGAAACCCAGATATGTAGTGGTCATATATATCAACACTACATTATACAGGGGACGTCTATTTTGACCAACCATTATCGTTTTTTTTCTAAAATATCATAAAACCTGAGTACCTTAATCAAAGTTCATCTAGAGTTTGATACGATTTTTTCATAGACAATCGATCCCCATTATTATAGTATACGATAAGTACAACAAAACAGGTTACCGCAAAAGGGTGGACTTGGGATACATAATACAAATCTTTAAAGCCCCAAAAATCTGTATTATGATTTATGACTAGCTATTATAATTTTTTAATTTGATTTGCAATTCGCCCTAACAAAAAGGAAGCATATTTAATTCTCATTATATTAACTCAGTTTGAATAAATTTATAAAAACGTTTCAGTATCGGTTCTTGCTAGGTTATAACCTTAATTTTATTACCTACCTAATATACATACAGTCATTTTAAGGAAAATATTCCAATGATGATTTCAAATTTCAATACACAAATTTACTCAATAAACAACTATTGGGTACTAAAATTAAATTTAGTTTCTACAATTAAATAATTAAATCATTAAAAAATGTATACTGACATTGCAATTAAGGTATAGCTTTCATATTGTTACAACATTTATTACGCAGTTATGAAAGTAGTATGCCGATAACGATATGTTATATTCAGGTTAAGTTTCAAAGTCATAGCCTTTTAAATTTGTTGTTTTACAATAATGGAACCATTGAGTTTACAGTAAACAAATTATTATTCACAAAAGAAACAATATGGCTTGTCGATAAAATGTAGGGCCGATAAATTTGCGTCCTTCAGGGTATGGAAACTCTACCTAATATATATTACTATATTAGCCTGCAGTGGCGTATATAGGGGGAGGCCCTCTAGGCCAGAGCCCATAGTGAAATTGGAGGTTCAATTAAAGCATTGAATGTATATCTACACTGTTTACAGTTTTTCACCATGATTAAGTTAGCCGGTTGATTAAAATTGTTTTTGAAGAATCAACAAGGAAATGTTAGATGGTCAGGACTTGCTTTGATGACTTATAATTGACTTTGATGTTAAATTCATAGTAAGATGACATTAAAATATATAAATGAGACTCAATATTTTTTAAAAAAGAATCAAAAAATTAATTTTACATAATAATTAAATTGCGTAATTTTTATTTGTACTGTATATGAGTATATGTCATAATTATAACCACCCAGCTCCCTAAAAAATGTATGTTAGTCGTGTTATTCTTGACTAGTGATAACTGATAAATTGGCCCATAGTGAAAAAAATTCGTATATACGCCACTGTTAGCCTGTACAACTGTTAATATTATGATTATTATACAATAATTACAAATTGTTTTGGTCTACATATAATTATTCTTATTGGCAAATTATGTAAAGCTCCTTGAAAATATCAACGTTGCCAACCAAAATATGTATTTTGTAAGACACATTTAATACTTCTATGTTTTGTTCCTCCGTGTTATGATATTCTGCAAATACAAAATGTTTGTATACGTAGACAATGATATTCTAAATTATGGTAGTATAGAATTTAGTGATGTGAGTCTCGTAAATTTACCATGTAAAATTTTACCGGTAAAGTAAATTTACAAAAAACAATTTACAATTTACATTTTTTTTACCACTCAAACAGTTGAGTGACCACTTTATTTCTACGTCTTTGTATTTTTTATCAAGATATTAGGATTATAATACAAATTACTAATTAGGATTTTTATAAAATGATAACGACAGTTACGTGATACGAATTATTGTGATATGGTGTACGCGGTTACTGGTACTGTTTTTCTTCAAGATCAGATTTTGAAGAAGTTATTAATACATAGGTGATAGGTATAGTTAACTTACACATGCTGTTTTCATTATACTATAAGTTGTTTTTTATTTTATTTTTGAAACAGATTTGAAACGCTATAATTTGAATTTTAATAAAAATTTACCAATTTTACCGTAAATTTGGTAAATTTACCAGTAAATTTACACGGTAAATTACCAAAAAATTTTTTTACGTAAAATCCACATCACTAGTATAGATATTATATTGGTATGTCCATGATTATCAATAATTAATAACTTTTCAGGGTAACACATGGACTCTAGATGATGACTACTTATTATTCCCTCGTTTCCCTCAAAAACAATATAAGGAATATATTTATTTTACTAAATTACTATTTTTTGAACTAAATAAATTTATTTTTGACAAATTAATAATTAAATTAAGGTAAAATACAATTAAAGAAATAAATTGTACAAATATTTCAGTTATAATCTACTAACTATTTTCAGGTGCAAGATGTTATGGAGTTCGACACGCCCGAAGCTATTTACGGCAATACTTTGAGTCAGGTATAATAATTTATTTTCATTTTTTCCTATGCCTATAAAGGCCCCATTGCATAGTATCACTAATAAATAATTACACTTTCAATGAACCAACAATTAAATAAATCTGAAATAAAAGTTGTTCTAACAACTTTTATTGAAATTATTTAAATAAATTCAATGAAACACATTGTATAAATTATAACACTAACGCTAACGCATGTCAGGTTCAGTCTTTTTACATGCAGTTATTTTGAACTTGGTTATTTATGAAATTAGTATACCAATAACGATATCTTTTATTAAGGTTCAGTTTCAAAGTTGTCGAGTTTACAGTAAAAAGTTTACAAAAAAGAAACATTATTGCTTATCTATAAAATATAGTACCGATAAATGTACGTTCTACAGGGTACGAAAACTGTACGCCAATCATATAACTGTAATAGAAACCATATTAGTATATTAAACAAAGGCATTTTTGAGAATTGGTCAAATGTGGCTATTTTATTTACCATTAGTTATTGAACTTAAACCTAAAATCATTTTTTTAACACCTACCTAATGTAACCATTTTCCCACGTTATTATTTGTTTCAGCTCTAATTAACATGTAACTGAAGATATTATGTTTATTATGTTTGTTATACAATAATGTTTTATATAATAATTGTTTTGGTTTATAATGTTTATATATTATCCTTATTGGACAATTATGTAAAGTTATTTGAAGATATTAACGTTGTCAACTAGAATATATTGTATTTTATAAGACATATTTAATACATAGGTACTTAAATATTTTGTTCTTCCACGTTATGATGGGAAAATATAAAATGTCTATTTATTTAGCTATATCTATATATTGAACCTTAGATACCTAATATAGGTACCGTATTATTAATAATTAATAATTTTCAGGATAACTCCAGGCATGACGATAATGACAAGGTATCATTAGCTCTTCAACAATCTGAGGTAAATATACATTTTACTCATAATATTTATTCAATTAGTATAAATAAAAACCGACGTCGCAGTGTTGCTTTTCGGGATTTCAAGTGTTTTAGACTTTCACTTACACAAAAATACATACCTATTAAGTATTAACAAATTGCAAGATTTATAATTGAATATGAACAATATTCAATAATTAAATTAAACTACATCTATAATTACTTTTGCACAGTCCCATTCGCAGAAATCATTGCTCGATCAATTGTTCAAAATAATAGTTAATAATAGTTAATAATTTTTCAGCGTAACTTACTTGATGATAATGAAAATGTATTATTATTATCTCAACAACAATTTGAGGTATGTAATATTTACTTTTCTAAATTAGTATTTTTTGTACTTCATAACTAGAGTTTTATTACCTAGGAATTGCATGAAGAATACTTTCCACTATTTCCACTAGAGGATAAATCACAGAACTTTTCAGAGCCGGTAAGTGTGCTAGGACAAGATCACTGATGATTAATTCCTTCAGCTCCGGCTGAACGGAATGTAATGAAAACCAGATATTTACAGATTATACGGGGGACATCTATTTTTACCTACCATTATCGTTTTTTTTCTAAAATATCATAAAACCTAAGTACCTTAATCAAAGTTTATCTAGGGTTTGATACGATTTTTTCATAGACATTCGATCCCCATTATTATAGTATACGATACAAAAAAATACAATTATAATAATTAAATGCTACTAATTTAATGAATGCGATGTGTTTATCTAAAATTAATTCAACTTTTTGTATTATAATATAATATTGTTTTGTATTTATAATACTAAAATAATCAAGTATATTAAAATATTTTGGTCATTAAGTATATTTAAAACTTCCAAAAATCAGAATTCAAATAAATTCATTATTTAAGGAAAGAAAGGGTTAGCATTTTTGGTGAATCTTCCTGTATACAACCTGCGTAGACTGAAAATACTATTAAGAAAGCATAGTATTATTATATAATATTAAATTATTAACCTGCACAACTATTAATGTTATGTTTATTATACATTTTTACAATAATTGCAAATTGTTTCGGTCTACATATTATTCTTATTGGCAAATTATGTAAAGTTCCTTGGAGATATCAACGTTGTCAACTAGAATATATTGTATCTTAAGAGACACATTTAATACTTATCTATTTTGTTCTGTTATGATATGAAAATACAAAATGTTTATATATTTAGACTATGCTATTCTAAATAATAGTAGTGTAGATATTATATAGGTAAGTCCATAATTATTAATAACTAATAACTTTTCAGCTTAACTCATTGAATCAAGATGATGACTCAGATCAAAAACCACATGAGGTATATATTTCTTTTACTAAATTAGTATTTTTTGTACTAAATACATTTATTTTTGACAAATTAATAATTAAATTAAATTAAAATACAATTAAAGAAATAAATGAAGTTACTTTGCAGTTATAATCTGTTAACAATTTTCAGGGGCAAGATGGTATTCTTCCAGAAGAAGAATTTAAAGGGCTCGCCGCATCAAGTCAGGTATTATTCATTTTTTTTCATTTTTTTCCTGTGATTCTATAAAAGCCCCCTTGATCAGTATTACTATTAAATAAATTAATTTTAATATATCACGGCTTGACTCCATATTATTATCTCAACAACAACATGAGGTATATTCGTTGAAATTGAAGCTAGGATGGACCCAATGACTTTGGTAATTATGTAAATACGTAACACGACTTTAGAGTTATTTATGAGTATAATATAAACGTGTGACAAACATATGTGTAAGTGGCTTTTACATGCATTGAAACTTGAAAGGCCCTATATATAGGTATGTACAAATTGAGGTCATCCTATATCCGTACATAATATCAAAACTAATAATAAAATTATTGACTGCTAAACTGCATAAGTAGTAGAAACCAAAATATTCACACGTGTGCTTACATGGTTTGAATTCTAATATGAAATGTATATTTCAGCAATACTTACTTTATTAAATTAGTATTTTTTGTAGTATATTAATTTATTATCTGTAGAAATGATTGGTGATATTTTAAATTGTCTTCTTTGTTCAAAATCAATGTAAAATAAGATTATTTCACGTAACTTCGATAATTTTCAAGTCATAGTTTTTGCTAATTATTAGGATTTACTGTGAAAATGGTTATGTTTAGTGAATAGTTATGGAAATAACTTTAAAGTTACTAATTTAAAGTTTAAACATAATTTAGAAAAAAAAGTGAAAATACGATTTAACTTTTAAGATCTAACATTCTAACTTCTGAAATTGATAAAAATATCACTATTTAAATTTTAAACAAATTTTATAACATAATTTTTACCAAAATTGGAGATACCCTTTTTTGGCTTACCACGGCAGAATATATTATACTAATGTATACTAATCTGTATAACTGTAAATGTTGTGTTTAATAAACACTATTTATTATACAATAATTAATAATTTGTTTGGCTATAATGCTATATTATTATAGGAAAATTATTCAAAGTTCCTTGAAGATATCAGTGTTACCCACCAGGAGATGTATTTGGTAAGACACATTTAATACTTATAATACTTTTTGTTCTCCAGGGTTGTGATATAAAAAATCCAAAATGTTTATATATTTAGCCCATGTTATTAAAATAGTATAGATATAATATACCTAATAATTAATAATTAATAATTTTTCAGGATACCTCCCGGCATCATGATGATGGCAAAGCATCATTAGCTCTTCAACAATCTGAGGTAAATATATATTTTACTCATAATATTTATTCAATTAGTATAAATAAAAATCGACGTCCCAGTGTCGATTTTCGGGATTTCAAGTGTTTTAGACTTTCACTTACACAAAAATACATATTAGGCATTAAAAATGTGCAAAACTAATAAATTAATTTGAACGATATTCAATAATTAAATGAAACTAAAGTCTACAACTACAATTACTTTTGCACAGTCCCATTCACAGAAGTACTTGTTCGATCGGATGTTATTCAAAATCATAGACTCACTTAGGACATTGACCAATGAAACAATCTCTGTCCAGGAATTGCTTAAAGGAGACATTCCACGAGGGGACGAATCGCAGAACTCGTCGGATCCGGTAAGTGTGCTAGGACAAGATCGAGGACGATTAATTCCATCAGCTTAGGCTGAACGGAAGGCGAAACACAGATATTTAGTGGTCATATGTACATATTATAAAGGGGATTTTGACCTACCATTATCGTTTTTTTTTCTTAAATATCATAAAACCTAAGTACTTTAATCAGTGTTCTTCCGGGATTTCATACAATTTTTTTCAAAGGTTTTCGATTCTACATCATTATATACGATACAAAAAAATTAAACTATAATAATTAAATACTAATAATGCAATGAATACGATTTGTTTAGTAAAAATTAATTCAACTTTTTGTATTATCAATAGTAAAATAAATTAAAATGATAACTATATTTATCAAATGTGCTTCAATATAGGAACTATAATATCATGACTTTCCCTGCCACATTTTAAATGACGGCAGGTAATACATTTGTATTTGGCTATTATTATTAATCCTTGAATTTAGAATATTTTAATTGTAAATCAATTTTTTTCCTTTAGTTAATACTTATTATAGATTTATTCATAATTTCATTTAAAATAGTACTATACATCATCATGTTGTATAGGCCTCAATGTCTGTATTATTTTAAAAAATATATATATTTAGGTAAATTAGAAAATAAAAGGGTTTTGCTCAGAATAATTTTTTATATGCAAACATTTTCCATGGAATGTAAATTTCACACATATTCTGACATACTGTACATCAAAGCAGTTATCTACTTTCCCACCTCTTCCTATAAATTTAAGTAGGAAGCTTTGTATAATACTGACACCGATGGTCAAGTCAGAATTTTATGACCATACTTATATTTGAGGTTTTTATGCTTTTACAGTGAATAGATTTTTGTATCGCCAAGGTAATCGATACAATCTAGGACAATGTGGAAAAACTATACTTATCTACTTCTTTTCAATTATATAACATTCTATGCTTGTAATAATCACTAGAATATATTATACAAGTAGTATATTTCAACGAGTTCAAGAGGCATATTATTTACAAAATAAGCTTTCTTATTATTAAATATGAATGAATACTAATATAAAAGCTTATAGGTGCGTACAGTGATTAGTACAGTGTTATTTACCTAAAACTATTTATTAATGAATACCATGACTAACTGTTACTCGTACAATCATTCAATGGAATATTAAATTAAATTACATATCTACTTAAATTAAAATACCATTCAATTTACTTAAAATACAATAATATAAATAATTGTACAATATTATTAACTAGGTACCTACTAATGATGTTAAGATTCTGTAAGGAATTCAAACCGATTCGTCCTAACCTTCCTAACTACTAAACATTTTCAGATTCAGAACTACACTCACCACGTTGAACAGATACAAAAACGGATGCTGTCATTTGAGAATCAGCAAAACAATATATTATATTCGATAGTTGAATTTGAACAAGCGTACGAGATTTTAAAAGAGTCCTGGAAAACCAAACTTAAGAATATTCTTGCAAGGGGCTATTCTGAAGAGGCTAGAAGGTTTCTGGGAATGATCGAAAATGTACGGCCGCTCAGAGATACTAGAGGTCTGCAAGAGATTATTAGGGGAAAAACTCGAACGGCAGATAAGCTTCGAGACTCGTCAAAGCCAGCCAACACGCTTAGACAAGCTCTAGCACAATTATACATACAAGATCATGTTAAGTTGGAGGTAATAAAACAAAGCTATTTCTATGGTTATATATTAATAGGTTTTACAGGTCACGTTTGAAATTAAAATATTGAAAAAAAATCAAAATCAAGAAATTCGTGAATAATTTTGTTGTAATTAATGTATAAAATATTCAAATTGTGTAGTTAATTTTTGAAAATTTCAATACTTTAATGGTAACGAATGTAACGTTTTTTTTATTCTATTTCATTGGTTATTATTATGATTATTTATCTATATCAACGACTATATGGAATAGTTTTTAGTAGGATTGCAAAGGTGTTTTCGACTTTCAATACAATACAAATTACATATTATTAAACAACATGTCATACTAATAAACTAACTTATACAGATTAAATTATTAAATTAAAGTACCATTACATTTACTTAAAAACAATAGTATAAAAAAATTATAAAATATTATTAACTAAATGCTAAAAACGTTACGATTGAGAACTACATTTAACCGACCCTTGCTGATCAAATAGCGTACGGCACCTTTTAATTTACGAAACATTTTCAGATTACGAACTGCACTCACCAAATTGATCATTTTCAAAAACAGATGGGCTTATTTGAGGATCAGCAAATAAAAGTATATGATTCAATAACTGAACTTAAAAATGAGTATAAGCTCTTGAGAGAATCCTGGGAAACCGAACTTCAGAATAGAAATGTTCCGATTGAAACAATGTATCATAAATTGTATAAAGATATACAACTTCTCCGGTCTACTGACCATGATCAGGAGATTATTATGGAAGACACTCTGAAGCTGGATGAACTTCAGGTCTCGTCGGAGCTGGCCATGCCGCTTGAGAAACGTCGTAAACGATTAATATTTCTAACAGACCCATTCCAGTGGGAGGTAATGTAAACCAGATATTTTAGTGTTCACATATATTAAATAGATTAAGCAGGGCCACTGGGGACAATGGTAAACGAGGTTAACATTTAGGACCAGGGAATATATACTCTGACAGATCATTATTTATTTATTATTATATTATACGGGATGGACCCATTTTTACAAAGACATGTACAGTTTACAATAAGGAATTTACATTAAGTCATTAAGATACTTAATTATCACATAAATTTGAATTAAAGAATATAAAAATACAAATACAAAGTGAGGACTGAAAATAAGTAAGAGGGATCAGCATTGGCGTTCCGCATTAAACGGCGTAACGGCTTGCATGCAAGATCGTTGGTGGAGGCATGCGGGACATAAAATGGTGCTTTGAATCTAGTAAAACGTTGAGGTACCTTGGATGAGAATAACGACAAAAGTTCAGAGCACTCAATAACAGGGCTTTGCACCCGAATCATTTATTCGGGTTTCGGGTTTCGGGTGCTGGATATATTCGGGTGTTCAAACACCCGAATAAAAAGTTTAAACAAACATTCGGGTTTTCAAAACCACTATTATTAGGGTTAATATTGGTTAATACGGGTGCTCAGTAATCTGGAAAAAAACATAGCTTTTGATGACCCCCCCCCCCAAAAAAAAAAAAATTATTTATGCAATGACTTATTATGTTATGTTTAATTAAATATATATTTCCAACACGAATTTGCAACATTTGTTTTAGACCAAACTCGTATTAATGTACCTACAGTAGTTACATTTTTTTAAGAAACTACAAGAACTAAGGCGATGGGAAATTAATTAGTTACCTATTCATTTTATTGGATGCATTAGAGTCTATATCACTTATGAAAATCTATGTACCTTAACTCTTAAGGCTTAAATTCTTAACATACATTTTATAAGTTCCAAATACCTACTCTATCTGTTTACTATTTTAAACATAGGTATTAAGTGTGAACCCAAACAACCAAACAAATACCTACAATAGCTACTTACCAGAGCTGGAGCTCAATCAAGGGTATTTAAATACTATATTATTTTATATTGATTAGTTATTAGGTTCCTACTTCCTATAGATATAAGTTATACTTAAAACTGTTATTAAAATATAACACATCCTAATCTAACGCCACTGATTAAAGTAATAACAACTATTAGGTAATATAAAATAAATTAAAATATAATATAATTTACTTAAAAATGTTACGATAAATTAATAATAACAGCAGTCAGCAACAAAAATTGACAATATTGACTGCGCGATAGGTTCGTCGTATTGTGATACAAATTACAAACATAACAATTTACCACTAGCGAAGTCGACGGATATAATAAAATGTTTAAAATAGTTAGGCCATAGGGGCGTTGAGCCGTAGAGAAACAAAATAATTCCGGAAAACTGGTAAATAATAAATATAGCCTCGAATTATGAATTTATGATATTCGTTAAAAATAGTTTAGGTATAAATGTATAATAATACCGCTTGGGAAATTTGTGGCAAATAATACAAAGTATTATTAATTATTAATATTTGATATTTTGGTCACGACTGTCAATACGTTATTCAGTTCTGTTGAGACTATGTCTAAATTTATTATTTTATATTACTATAGGCTATATTTGGATTTATTTTATATACAAATAAAGTAATAAATCTATATTAGGTAAAATAAATATTTTAGTATTAGGCGATTAGGTCTTTAATCAGAATCAAATAAGGATTTCATTGGATTTTATTTTTAAGAAAATGATTATTGAATTACAACTAACTAAAGAATCGAAAGCGCCACAAGAAATACATATAAAATGATATATCACATGAAGAGTTTGTAAAAATGAAATTATTCGGGTTTCGGGTTAACCCGAATGGTTTATTCGGGTTTTGGTTAATACGGGTGTTTTGAAAATAGAATCATTCGGGTTATATGGGTTTCGGGTGTTTGAATTTTTAAGGGTGTTTAGGGGTGTTAGGGGTTCGGGTTAATTCGGGTGCAAAGCCCTGCTCAATAATGTCATTAAGGACTCTCTTTGTGAACCTAATGCCTGCAGAGTGACTACGCTTAGCTAAGGTAGAAAGATTTAATTTACTTGCCTATTTCCTGGCTAATTTACTAGCTGACGAAGTGACGAAACGTAAAAATTTACTCTGTACCCTCTCTAGCTAGAATCATGTGTTATCATGTTTTTATCTAGTCTAATGTAAATTTCAGGGTTTCATTTGATATTAAGAAAAAAAAACCACTTCAAACATTTTCAATTTGTATAGCTATTTTTGTACTATATATTTATATTCTGCAAGTGAGGTATTTGAAGTTTGTTCTCTAACGGTATTAATTAGTAACTATATGATCACTTAAATTGAAAAAAAAAATCTCAAATATCCAGAGGCACCGATAGTTATTCAATATTTTCTTGTTCAGAGTTAAACATTTATAACGTTTATAGCATTAATCATCAAACAGAAACAAAAATACATTTTCCAACACCTATAATCTAAACTATTTTCTAGAGTATGTATTATGATAATTATTATAGGTACACATTTTTTTGTATAATATGTAGTTTGTCTTTTATTTATTACATAGATAATAATATTGTATAATTTTTAAGCAGCATAGCATCTGGCAGTTTCAAAGTAACGAGTCGCGACGGTCACCTAATTCCGAATGGTTATACTTCAAACAGATCGACCCGCAACTGAAACGGTGGAGGCTAGTGGCTACAAGCGTGGTACGGAACTTTTCGCTCGCAGAAGACCATGACCGAGTAGAACGAACAGATTCAGGTTCTCTAATGATGGTAATTTAACGCAGCTATTCGAGTAGTTACATAGTTGTACTAGCTAAATCGAGAGGGTAATTAAAGTGTCTAAAAAGATTTATATATTGTTATATATTCGTACCTAATATTTTAGATTCTGAGTGAAACGATGAATGTATTGATTTTACAATGATATGTGTTTTTTTTTTTTTAATTTTTTTAATTTTTTAATTTTTTTTTGTGTCTGTCATCACGTTTTAGGACAGTATAAGTGCTTGGATTTTCTTCAACAGTAGCTTTTCTGATAGGAAAGTGAATCTAGTTGGTGCTTAGGGGGGGGGGGGGGGTCAAAAGTAAAAATTTAGTTTAGTTTAAAAATTCACAAGCACCGGGAAAAACAACATAAAAATTAAGGAAAAACGGGAATTTTTACTCAAAATCGGTTTTCCAAAAAATCGATTTTGGTTTTTGGTGTAATTCTAATATAAATTAACGTATATACATGAAATTTTTACTGGTTGTTTATATTTGCATTTTATATACACGATAACATTTTCAAATTATTTTGATTTATTTTGAACTGTTTAGGGACATTTTCATTTTCCATTTTTTTTTTAGTTTTTATTTCTAAAAATATCAATAAAGTTTTATTTGTTGGTTGCGAAAGCTTGAAAATTTAATAGAAGGCTCCTATAAAAAAAAGTATAGTATATTGTTTCAAAGGCAGATAAAAAAATATTAAAAATCCTTAGTCACAATTTTTTTTATAAGCATTTAAAGTTCAAAAATTGACAAAATATGGAAAAATCACGAAAATTAGCAAATTATTTTGATTTAAGAATTCGTGAAAATTTTTCTTTTTAAATCTAAGATTTGAAAATGTAATACAAGATTCCTTATAAGATTATCTACCTTTATCAAAAAAAAAAAATGTCTATAAGAAAGTCAAATTAAATTTTTATGATCGTTTGAAATTCAAATTTTTACAACATTGGATATTCACTCGATTTCTCATGTATCGATTTCCTTATTTTGTTGTAATTCAAAAACGAATAACTGTAGATACATGAAAATTTCACTGAATGTTTAAATTAGCATTTCCTATACACCATACAATTTTAAAAATATTTTGACTCTTTTTGAGCTATTTACGGACATTTACCGCTTTCAATTTTTTTTAGTTTTTTTTCTATAAATATCAATAAAGTTTTATCTGTTGGGCCAAAAAGTGTAAAAATTTAATACAAGGCTCCTGATATATTATTACAATATCAGTTGAAAAATATTAAAAATTCATAGGCACAGTTTTTTTTATAAACATTTAAAGATCGAATTTTGACAAAATTTATCAAAATCTGGAAAATTATCAATCATTGTAATTAATAAATTATAAAATGTTCAGTTTTTATAGCTAAGGATTGCAAATTTAAAAAAAAGGTTCTCATAAATAGTTCATACTGTAACCAAAAAATCTAAAAAATATATGAACACAGTTATTGTTTACAGACGTTTTAAATTTAAAATTGACGAAATTACATATTAAAAAACCTAGAATAACTATTTTAGTTATTTTGTTGTGATTGAATAATATTATTCGTGGGTACTTGAAACTTCTAAAGTATACTATTATATATCTATGATAGTATCACGATTTTTGTTGATGTATAACGCGTTATAAGTACCTAATAATGGTTATTGTGATACAATTAATTTGGAATTTATTATAGGTACCTACCTATTATAGGTCAAATTTTGGTTTAGTACCATAGATATGTATATAATATGTCTTATACCTAGACTGACATACCGTCTTCGCTCAGAATCGTTTTTCTTATATAATGATATTATATCGTTGAATTCAAATTTAATATCATCCATTATACAGTGACCCACTTGTAACCTACTGTACAGCAGAGCGATACCAACTTGCCCACCTTTTTTTTTTAAATATAATAATGCAATTTCATCATAAACTGGTGAAAATATAAAATAATATTTTGTATGAGGATTGAGGGTCAGGAAAGCTTATATTTAAAATTTCTATATTATATGGTATAAGTTTCAAAATATGTTGACTAAAATGTGCATCCAAATTTTAGAGTTCACTTAATATACACAATATATATGTTTCACAGGTGACAGTTTTCAAGTGTGATTGTCACACAAAGGACAGGGGAAATATTTTGGTCTGGGAAATATAAATGTGTTGTCCGACCATTATCATCTTTTTAAACCATTTGGGTAATCTATAACCCTTAATATTCAATTGGGGTTTGAAACAATTTTTCAAACGTTTTTCATTGACCATAATATGCCGGTATGACACAAACGCGTATTTACAATATTATAATATCACTCACAACGGTTCATAATCATTGAATTCAAATTTAACACTAACATTTCAGTGGCATACTCAATGACAAGGTACACTCGACACCTATATAGTACAGGAAATTGGTTACCTATTTTCTTTCAATTTACATAGTTTCAAGTTTGGTATACTGACAACGTCGGTGACATTATAATAATTTAGTGGTCCGACTTAATTTTGTTCTGAATAAATTATCGTTGCGCAAAATTCGACGATATGGATAATACAAATTTAGGTCAGAGTGCGAAAATTGTATAAGAATATAATGGTAACTACAGTTTTCAACCCGTTACTATAAATACTCTAGAATAAAATATAAATAGTATTTTATTATCGACGAGACCATATTTGGGGGTTATTTTATTAAGAATTAAATTATTGAACAGAAACTTAGAACAAACTGTTAAACACTTTTAATGTAAACTATTTTCTACAATTTAATAAATTATATGCAAATACTACATGTTGTATAATATTATATAGTTTTTTAAGTTTTATTATTATACTAAGATGATAATATTCAATATTGTATACATTTTAAGGAGCACAGCACCTGGACGTTTCTTGGTAAAGTTTGGTGGAATGGCACAAATTGTGATTTGCAGCAGTGCGGATGGTTAGTATTTAATCAGTCTGACTCGTCACTGAAACGTTGGAGACTGGTGGTTTCTAGTCCTATCCACATTGAAGGGCAGCAAAATCCATCGGAGCCGCACACAACGCTCGATAAACCCCACAGTTATGTAGTACCAACTGTTCCAAATAAGGTAATGTAACGAAATTATAATAGTGGTTACATATTCTAGGCTTATACCAGAGAGATGAAAGATTCAGGTGTTTTAAAAAGACGCATAATTGTTGTGGATTCAATATCAATAATATAAAACATACGTATTTTATAGCCCTTTATTGTTAACTGTATAAATCGTTATGGTGTACATTAAAAATGATCTGAAGATGAATCTCTACTGCAGATTTTCATATTATGATACTTATACTACGAGTTATTTTGTTTATATTTATTAATTGCCATGTTAGTATTTCTTATGTAGTATTATGAAACAATTAAAACTGAATAAATTGCATTAGTCATAACTCATAATAATTCGGAGAATATCTTGGAGGCGTCAATTGTGTATTTACCAATTAGTTCCCATTTAGTTGGTTCTAAATCATTAATTTTGTTATTAATGTATTTGATAGGTTTACATTTTGAACATGTATTATAATAGTAGTTCCTTTATCCAAAGCTAGAAATATTTATATAGTTGATCCGTTGTATTGCAGACAGCCGCTGGACTACCTCAGAGCTTGGAGGTTGTAACCACAACCACCACGATTAAGATAGACCCTCTGTTGGTAGACGAGCTGCAGGACCCTACAAATCCGATCAAACTAGGACAAGGTCGTGGGCTATTAGTTCTATCAAAACCTGTTAAGTATGAGGTAAAATCAGCTATTTAAGGGTTCATATTATATTTTATGCAATTAATCTAAAATCGACTAATGTAAACCTTTTTCTGCTCCCTAGCGTTTTGATATATGAAAATACAAAATATTTATATATTTAGTCTATGTAGGAGTATATATATTAATAATGAATATGTTTTAGGATATTATTTCCACCAGGAATTTTCCTGACAAAACATCAAGTCGTCCACAGTTTAAGGTAGGAAAGCTATGGATATATTTTTACTTATAAGGTGAGAAACTATTAGATTGGTAGTCACTAAAAACGATCTTAACATTGAATGTGCATAACTATATAGTAACTACGCAGTTATCAACCCGTTATTATAAATACACAAAAGTAAAAATATATAAATAACAGTGTCGGACTGGCATACCAAAGGCCCATGGATCAGTTTTTTTAAGGGGCCCCCAAAAAATGTACACCGTATTTTGTTGAAACAACATATTAAGATACTTCTTTAAATATAGGTACTTTACATTTTTACTAATATGGATCATAATATATAATATATATCATAACCATGATTCATGAGTTAACTTAAATATAAAAGCAATTTTACAACTAATTATTTTTGAAATAGGTACCTACCTATACCTAGTAAGAATATTTTAAATAATAAAACACAATTTTTAAATAAGTAATTTTTTTAATTCATTAGATGAATATGCTATCGTCTCTATCAATTTTTGAGTGTCAATAGCTTTTTTTTTTTTCTATAGCCATCAACATTAATGGAGTAAGGTGATTTTAATGTAACGTTGAGCGAAGTTTCGTTTTTATACATTTAAGCTTTGAAAATACCCTTTCGCAAGTTGTTTGTGTTGATGGCAACAACAAAGCAAACTTATATATAACAAATAAATTTGAAAATAAATTTGACTGGCATGATAATTCTCGTACAATTAAAAATGCACAGTGAATACATTTGTTACACTTATTGTAATTTACTGATTTTGATATTTCATCATTATCTTCATCACTCACATCTTCATTTCTTAAAAGTAACTTATCTTCTGAATCACAATCGGTAGTATATTTAGGTATTTGTGGTATAAAATGTTCATATTGACTGGAAAATTGTTTCAATTCTGTTAAGATTACTTGATGATTCAGTCCAGATATTTTACATATAGTACTCAAAGCTGATACAGGCAATAATTCAGTGTTGTTAAATACTGCAAAACTTCTAGGGTCCAACCAGTTCAAGTCTTTTAATAAATTTTCATTTTTCATGAATCGTGTCTCAATACTATTTTGAATAGTGTCTATAATTAAAAAAGTATCATATTTAAATTTATTATATGGAGATATAATTCTTGATTCATCATTACACTTTTCCGCAGAAAGTTTTTTTTTTTTGAAATACGTTTTATTGGAAAATCTTCTACACAAAAGTGATTATTTATTTTTTTACAAAAATGTTGACATTTTTTATATAAATTTAATACATACTCATCATTTCTTTTTTTCTCAATTTCTTTTTTTAAAGCAGCTATCATATTCCATGCTTGTAAATAATTTATAGTTTTAGTTTGTAGATAAATTGACACCGGAGTTGTAGCTGAATAGCTATACGTATTATACTATTAACAGTATTATCCTAGTTATATTAGTCGACAATATTTTTATAAATAACTATAGTCGATAGTCGATACTCGATGGGATGTGAGAAAAACATTATATAATATTTATAAATAAAAGCATTATAATACAATATTAACGCAAAGCCGACGCGATGGAAATCATTCGTTTAAAAATAAACTATGAAACATTTGAAGCTACAAAACAATAAATAATAATTATTAATTCCACAGAAATGAAATTACGAAAACTAAAATTATATTTCCATTATAAAATTTCAATTTAGGAGACATATCCGTAAGCTATATAAGAATTATATTATTTAAGTAGCTTTCAAAAGTAAATGTCATACCTTCATCATTATTATATCTTTATATATTATACATTTATACAGATATTATAGACGTATAGTATTGTAAATTAATACATAATACATTTTTTTCTATGCAATATTTGCATGATTCCAACAGCGGGGCACTGGGGCCCCTGCAGGGTCGGGCAAGCGGGGTCCTCGTGGTCTCGTCTAAGTCCTATAAAACCTAACTTAACTTGCAGTAGTGCAATTAATCCAAAAAACCTGCTCTAACTTATTACTAGACAATTTCATTTTACTATTATTCATCATCATATTATAGGCCATAGGGAATGCTGGACAAAATTGACGACACTAAAAAAAAAAAAAAAGAAGGGGCCCCGGCCGCATTCGCGGCCCAGCGGCCATGGCCAGTCCGACACTGATAAATAATTATTGTAAAAAAGTTCTTGATTCCCCAAGGAATGTTACCGGGAATAGGGAATATTCCCCAACCCCCCAGGAAATTTCTTTAAAAAAAAAAAAATATATTTTTATTATTTTTATGTTATTCAGTATTTGAATTTCAGTACTTTTATTTTTATTTTTTCAACATATATAAATGAAAGTTGGATCGTTTATTTTGTGATTATTGTACAGGTTTTAATTAAAAAATTAAATTATTGTTACTTAATAACTTTTTTTAAAGAATAAAATATATCTATACTGACATAATATCAATAATGAGCCGTCACTTGGATCATTTACAACCATAAGTTTAATTTAAAACTGAAACCTATGATCAATATTTAAAAACTTATTATATTCCAAGAAAATTACCGGGAATTTCCCGAAACGATATTCCCGGGAATTCGCCCATCACTAGTTATGATATTCATTTACTTACCATTAAACTTTGAACAGAAACCTAATACACAATTTTGAACAAAATAAATAAATCATCTGCACTATGCATTATGAAAAAATTGTATTATTTTTATTGTATAATTTTCTATTAGGATTACAATATTATTTACTTAGTTTGTATCACGGCTATATATATAATATAATGTACTTACCTATATATCCATCGCCCGATAACCGTGCTTTACATACATTGATACCATCGTTTACTAATAAAATTTTTTTAGGTTTTTCAAAGAATTTCCGAATCTTAATACACCAAATAAAGTTTTAAAATACCACCACATGCGTGGTATTATAGGTATACCCAAACAATTTAACTTTTAACGTTGTAATTATGATTCCACTAGGAATTTATGAAAACACAACAATATTATGTAAGGCATAGAAATAAATTGTATACCTAATCATTAAATTGTTTGTTTCTGTCTTCTGTTCAGCCTCAAGCACTGAAAGCGAACGGTAATTATGGTATATAAACACCAGAAAATTGAACTGCATACCACCAAAACTGGAGCCGCCGAAGACAGCGGATACACGCTTAAAATTAAAGAAGAAAACTGGAAATCAAAATATTTCTATCAGATCCGTTGGACTGATCTTTTTTACTATCTTAATTCAAACATTTACATACATAAAATAATACTATAACATACTATAATTATATTTACTTATTGCTACTTTAATAGACAATTTATGTGGATTTTTAGTTTATATTAACTATGTAGCTTATTATTCTGCTTGTCATATACTCAATTTAGCTGGAATAAATAAATTAGAACATGAATACTTTTAGCGTTGATATTATTATGATATTGATTTGTTTTATTATTGGTTTATTGTTAAAAGCTACAGACTAAAAAAGGTGGGCATCATGTGGGTATCACTCTGTTGTACAGTAAGTTACAAGTGGGTTACATTTAAAAACGAAATTTAAGAACGAAAACGATACTGGGTCTACAATAATGCACCTTCTCGTGATATAAAAACGAAATAAATAAAAAAATATTTATTAGTATATAAAAAAAAATACAACTAAAGAAAAACATTGGCATGTAGCCATATTTTTATAAGGTTAGTCTTAAAATCTAAAGTATTTGTTCATAACCAAGTTGATGATATTGTATGTCATCACGAGTCCGTATAGCTGAAATTGTGAAACAGTTAATTTAAACATTATTATAGGGCACGATTAATATTTACAATGCAAGCTGACGTCTGACAAATAGCATAAAATAATGATTATATATATTTCATTTACGAAATATAGGATTAAAATTAAAACCAAAACTGGTTTATCATAACTCGTAAGCTAATATGTATATTGTATAGCAGATCCATAAAAATTGAAAATTTTTTTTTGTTTATTGCGTTTGTTTGCAGTTTATATATACGAATTATTTCACAAAGCAAGGTACAATTACGCCGATTTGTCCATAAAAATAAAATGAAATAAATTAAAATAAAATAGCCCCCAAAATATAATAGTTTATAAATATTAAATGATCCTAAAAATTTGGGATGATAAACTATAACTTCAATGTTTTTTTAGATACCTACACTGTATAAACATTTTTTTGAACTATAAATATATACTAATATAATTTAGTATCTAATATAGGTTTTATTTTATCAGTTATCATCCACCTCGTTATTCAGCTATAGTATTATTATAATGTCACAAGTTAAAATAATTTACAGTTTTAGTTTTTTTTTTATATATAAAACTATGTTTGTTTCAGATCTAATTTAGGTAATGGTTCTAGAGAAACATGAAAATAACATAGACAACAATCAAGCAAACATATTTGATAATAATATTATAGAATAACTTAGGTAATATAATATGTTTTGCATTAAATTAATGATAGCTATAAGTATAAATATTATGTAAACACAATTACCAACGGTATGGTGTACGAAATGTGCAATCGCATCAGGCGTGGACTGACTGGGATGCTGGGATGCTATAGCATCCCTTGCCCTAAAATATATTTGCCTAATATTATTTATTATATATTTAAAAACTCTAGATACCTAATGAACAGCAGATCGTTATTACCAACTTACGATTATTAGTGTTCTAATATTGTAAAATTTTGATTGAAAGTTTGTTGTAACTTGGCACTTATTTATGTTTTTAGCGTATATTCAATATTTAATATTTTTTCAAAATAAAATAAAATATATTAATATTTTATAAATTATCTACATGTTTTAAATTTGCCCCAACAATTTTTGTTATTTGCCCTTTAAATTGAGTAGCATCCCTTGCCCTTTTTTACCAGTCCGCGCCTGCGTACATTTCAATTGATCTGAATGTAATTATTGGTATCTGTTTAGTTTTTACCTGTCATGTAGCTGACTATGACACCAACGAAAACTGTTACAAACGTGCCCAAAAATGAGTAGTACATATACGTTATCGAGTACAACATTGTCAGTATATCACTGAAAATAAAAATTTTAAATTTTAACGCACCAGCAGAATTATTATTATCGTTGATTTTATATGATTTATATCCAAGTCTCGGATCAAACAAATTATGTTATTAACAGTGTTTATGCGAACTGTTCATCCATGCTTATTCAGTATTCTTCACTTAAATTACACATTGAGATTTATAAAGTGGAAGTAACTTATACTGCTTATAATATACAGAATAGGTAGTTTGTACAATATTGCAGTTATGCGTACTCTGTGGAGGACGATTCGACTTCAGGCGTCGACAGGACACTGGAAATGTCGTCGTGGGTTTTATTCATAAAGCTCATTTTGTATTGATTATACTGTATATCAAAAATCGGCTCAATGTGTGGCGAGAACGTCGTATTCGTACAACCTTCAGTGGACACTGGCAGATAATTAGGTTCTTTGGCGATAGATAACGATCCAAGTACAATAAACAGGGTCATCAAGTGACTAGATATCATACCGGCAGCAGCACCCTGTTAGAATAAAAAAGAATATATTAATTCAGAACTATTAAAAATAAAATATACAAACTTCACCTACAATGTACATTGTTCACCTAATTATTGTAGGATTAAAATAGTTTTGGAGATGGTTCTAAATTATACAATGAAATAATATATATATTTACCGATTTTAGTTAAAAATGTATACTCTCAATTTTATTGACAAATAATGTTAGAACCAATATAATATTTTATTTTAGAGTATTGTTTGCTAAGAGTAGAAACAATTATTTACTTATAATATAATTTATAAACTACCATACTATCTCTAAACACCGTGAATGGATACCTAAATTATTGTTGAGTTTATTACATAATAATTATACTTAACCAAAAATTAAAGTAATCTTTTGACCTATAATAATAGTGTGAATTAAACGATAGGTGCAAAAGTAGTTTAAATACATAGAAACATGTTGCTTAAATGTCAAGAACATTGTCAAGGCACAATTTCGTCTGAATAATTATTAGATACTAAATAGGAAACTACATATTTTTTTAAAACGCAATATTGTGATAATGACTGAGGTATACTAGGGTTAATACTGGCATTAATGGTCATTGTGTTTGTTTTATGGAATAATTTAACATTTTTAAATTGATCGATTTCAAGAATTGCGTATCTTTATTTTAAATTTCCCTACCTACGTACCTATTATCTATGTAATGAAAAATTGTTTAAAATTATTATAAATGTTATCAGTCATATAACTTATGATCATAAAATTGTATTTATACTCTATTTAAGCAAATATTATAAATTATATTGATATAACAAAGAAATAGTTTATAGTTAATAAAGAAATACCTTTTGATTTTGTTTGAATACAAAATTAGTCAATCAAATGTCTCACGTACTCACTTTCCAATTAGTTGATGGGAAAAACATAGCTAAAACAAAAACTCCTAAAAGAGGTCCACTAGTTGCGGACGTCATTAGCTGAGAAGCATCAATAACACCTGATGATTGTGCGACAATAAACGCAACACCCATAACTATAAAACCAGTAATTACACCTAAAAGCAAATAAATAGTATTAGCGATATGTCGATATATATATTATATAACTATTGCTTTATTTTAAATTATTGTAAAATGTAATTTTGGTTATCTACCTACCTAATAGTAGTTTTTTATTAAACAATTTTAAGGTTAGATTGGTACATCAGATTTACGACTTACTTATGCTTTTAATGCACCACAGTTGGTTCTTTTCACTGGCACCTTTGAATATTGGTATTTGAGAGACAAAATCTTCCCAAGCAACAGTGGAGATTGAATTTAAGTTGGACACTATACTGCAAATCAAAGTTCCGTTATTGGACAAGTAGGGAGAAATATAACAGCTAGGTAGTCATAAGTAATATTAAGACAAATTGAATTGATTTACCTCAGTCCACTGTTGAATAAGCTGGCCAACACGAGGCCCATGAAACCGGGCAAAAAGTAAAATCTGTCTTCAATGTAAAAAGGTATGATCTCGTCGATCTCCGATATGTATCCAAGTGCTCGAGGATCGCAATCAGCGTACACGGTGAATATCACCATACCGACAATCCACGATAGACTGAAGAGGAATATCGTCAACGGTATGGTCAGCCACAGAGCCCTAGGCAAACGTTACGAATTTGGAGAAATGCCTTAACCAAACATAAACATATTACTGTCATTTTGAATATAAATCGGTTCGCATTTAATTACTTTTCAACTTGTTTCTGAGATTCCATACTAAAATAGCGTTGAACGATATTTTGTTGGCATCCGAACATCGAAAGTGTCATGAACAGCTGACCAACAGTTGCGGACACGGTGGATACACGAAGCGTGGGGTCCATGTTGAAACTGAAATATCACAAATTGCTGATCGTTAAACACCGGCCTTATGGATCCAGGTAAATGGTTATCTACACATACTTGAAAAAGTCCAGCCTGTCTCGTTCCTTGGTCACTTCGAATACATTCAGTGGACCTTTAGCTATAAAGAATCCGTGAATAATAATCAATATGCTGCAACCGATCATCACTAAACTCTGTACGGCGTCTGCAAGGATAGCTGATCTCAGACCTCCCTAAAATAACGATCACAGAATTCAAAATATTGACTTATTACAAAATATATTGTATGATATTATTTTTTAATCTGAACTATTGCCTGCGTATGTAACGATAATGTAGTATCCCCAGAGTAAAATCTCATCCAGGGCAAGATAAAAATTACTTATAATCTAATATTAGTAATAACTAATGGCAATATTTATATTTCAGTACATAGGTATGACGTATTTAAAAATTCCCAATAAGGAGGACATTTTCGCCCACACCGATGGCCGATCTTGAAATAGGGCAAATAAAATAATATTTTTATATCAATAATTTTGAAATTACATAAAATATTCGTTTATACATTTAACGAGTAAAAAAATAACTAACAGAACAGTGTTTGTACTTAATTATAATTTTTATTATTTCATTTGTTTTGTATTAGGTAGATTAAACCTA